TAAACGACGACTCTCCCGATGGGTTCGTCGTCGCTACGGTATTATTGAAAGCGGAACGCCGCCCTCGCCGTCGCCGCGAGCAACCGGTGGATCTTTCGCGGCGAACGGACCCGAATCGAGGATCAAGCATCCTGCCGGTTCGTACCTTTATTAAACTGCTCTCGCATTCTTTCGCGTAATTGGATACGTCGCCGGCGCGAGAAACGAAGTCAAAGCGTCCGTTACGGGGTCCCCGACGCGACGTATTTTTAGTTTCGCCGATGAACTCTTTGACGCCGCGATTAGACGTCGGTCCCTTTCTTCGACGGTGTCCGCTCAAAGGGGGTGTGTGTGTGTGTGTGTGTGTTGTATCGAGGCACGGTTTTCGCCGGTGGGTTAGGTCAGGGTGTCGAGAGGTCTACCCTCGTGCTAGACTCGGACACGGGCCTCCTCTGTGGACCGAGCGTCTATCGGAAGTGTCGCGCGTCGTGCTCCGACCCACCCCCTATTCGATTCGAGGAGCCAGAAATAAAACGGTAGGTGGGATTATACGAAACCGAGAGGCGGAAGGGGCGCGAGCCTCGGTCCCGAGACAATGAAAACGTCGATACCCGGGGATCCGACTTACAGGTATCGACAGCGGATCGCGCTGGTTTATAATATCCATTTGGATCGCGTCACGTCCGCTAAGAACGCTCGAGGAACGCGTCGGCCAGCGCGTTCGCTGCTTAAAGGCCGGCGGACCGAACGGCCAGGTCGGCTCCGGGGCGGAATTTCATTTGTCAGGGGAGTTTCTTCAATTCCCGAAAAGCTGTAAACTCGCAGGCGAGGCGACGCAATTACCGGGGACGCAGATTAAATCCGTGTCGCCGCGGACGCGAATCCCGACGCGAAACGACGGTCTGTTTTTCGAGGAATTTCCACGGGACGTGCGCCCGGCCGTCAAACATTCTCGCTCGCGGCGCGAGGATTATTGCTGTTGTTATTATCACCATTACGTCGGCTTTCTTACGCGATAATTGAACGCAAACGTCGCTGGTTTCCACGGTGTCGCGCGAAGGGGCGGCGCAGCCGGGGGCTGTTTCGCGGTTCCTGAATTAGGGACGGGTGGAACGTAAGAAATCGACGCGACGAGATTCGAGAATCACCGTTCGGATCCGTAGGGGAATGTTCCGATCGAACGGGTTATTCGAATTCCATTTGCGTTCCCGTGCGTGACAGAAGGTAGGCGGAGCGATGTGCAATTGACGTTTGCGGATGCTGTTCCTCGGAAAGGCAGGCCGCGCTAGTCGTTAGAAAGACAATTACGTTAAAACGTCGGAGGGAATGATTGCCGGCGAGCCGGCCGTGCGTCGGTCCAGAAGGGCGAGCGAGCGAGCGAGCGCGCGGTTACGTAACAGGGAGGAGGGAAGAAGCGAATAAACTAAATCTCGTTGTTTCTAATCGCCGCCGTCGCGAGCGGCGCTCGTTCGGAACAAGGTCAGAAGTTTTAGCAACGGTACAATGACGGGCAGCATCGAGCTCGTTAACGTATCCCGTGCGATTCTTGCCACGTGCTCCCGTTTCTACGACGTTACATTAAGCAGATTGCGCCCCCGGTTCCGCCGGCCGCGGAACGGAACAGTGATACGGCTCGTCGGGAGCGTATTTGTCTCCTTCCCGTTCCCGTTTCAGTTCCAGTTCCCGTTCAAGGTGACGGATGCTGGTAGTTTCCGCGTCGCGGGTACACCTGACGGAGCGATGTTCGTTAATCGCAATAAAGGGGAGTGCGGCCGAGTGCGCGACGCCCGTCGCGTCGCGTCGCCATGATAGATCTCGCCGAAAGACGGAATCTAGCGGAATCGAGAAATCGTTCCGACGCTCGTGGCCCTAATGGCTCGTCGTTCGACGCGTATGCGAGGCTGGCACGCTCCCCACGAGCGATTCCGGCTGGAAAAGAACTCGGTTAACGTGCCGGCCTGCTCGTAAATTGTTCATGCACTTTCGAAAACAGTTTAAAACCGCGGCGGAGCACGCCACTCGGAATTTCCACCGCAGCCTCGGTCTCGTTTAATACGTCGGTTAGTCTCAGCGTTACACCGCGCGCGGTCGATCGCCGTTCCAAAGCTCGCCGTACAGCCGTGTTCTTGTGTTACAGATGAGGAGAAGCCGGGATGACGCCTTGAGTCGTCGGAACAACGACGGCGACTGATTATGACGCGCGTCCGCACGCGCCGCGATCTCTCTCGTCTCCTCCTGCCATTCTCATCCTTCGAGACCCTTCATCTTCCTCGCAACCTGATCCTCCTTCTCCTCGGCCTGGTCTCCGTTCGCAGCGTCCTGGCCTGCGGTGAAAGCGCGGGGCCACAGAGTCATGACTTCCCAGCGTTTCCGCGTCCCGATGACGTCGCTGAAAGGAACCACCGGCAAAGGGGCCCGGCTGATTATCGCGAGTGGCCGCAACGCGGTCTGAGTCAAAACCGAGTTCCCGGCTCGTCGGACCGACCGGGGAGCCTCCGAGTTCACGACGGCGATCGACCCTCGCAAAGGGGAACCAAAGAACGCGAGGAACCAGTCGCGAGGAGACGCGAGAACTCGAACGAGCCTCGCGTGGACTCGCTCGAGGGCTCGCCGTTCGACGCGAGCAGTCGTCGCGACACCCGCAAACGACACGAGAGACGGAAATTTCGCCGGGAGGAGGACGGGAGAACCGACGGCGCGATATCGTCGACCGTCGCGAGCGCGAGCTCCTTTGCCAAGAAACACACCGGGCACAGAGCGAAGAGGAACTTCGGCAGAGACGCCGAATCGGAAGCCGCCGCGAATTCCCTCGGGCTGAATGGATCGCTTTCCGATTGCGCCGGCTGCGCCGCGGAATTCTTCGGCGACCCCGGCTCCGTCGGACGGAACAGATCCGATACCGTGACGGATAATCCTAAGCCGGCCGGGAACAACGAGACCGGGAGCGCAGTTAATTCGACGGAAATAGATGGCGACCCGTCGCCGCCTTCCGACGGAAGCGAGGAGGAGCCGTTCACCGGCTTCGAGGGCTCTCAGAAGTTCCCCATAAAAGTCACGTACAAGCCTCCGGTGGTTCCTCAAGTGGAAAAGTTCGACAGGAGACACTTCGGCCCGCCGAAGGTGGACCCGGTCCCGGAGACCACTGCGTTCGCGTTCCCGTCGACGCTGTCGCCGGACTTGCCCAAGAGCCCCGGCAGGGACGTCCTGAACCGGCACCGCAAAGTCGACGAGATCACGGAGGAGGAGCGGAGGCAGGAAACCGTCGAGGCGAGCGAGAACATGAACGACACCGATGACTTCTGGCTGCCGGGCGCGTCGTCCGGTCGACGATCCTCGAACATCGCCGGCGGCAAGCCTTCGCCGGAGGAGAAACGGGTCACGACGGTCACGGAGCACCCGACGTCGACGTCGACGACGGCGGCGACTACCGTCAGGGAGGATTCCCAGAGCGAGAAGATAAACATAACGATCCTAGGCCTGTTCGAGATGACGCGCGGACTGGAGCCTAGACCCGAAGGGCCCAGCGAGCTGCAGGCGGCCATTTTGGCCGTCGAGCACGTGAACAAGATGAACATCCTCTCCAAGTTCAGGCTGCGCCTGATTTACAACGATACCAAGGTAAGGAATTTCTGCAAATGTGTACTTTGTCGTCCTTTGGATGTGAACAATGAAATGATGAAATGATGTGAACAATGAATTTTAATGAGTTCGATAGAATTAATAAGTTCCTTAACCCCTTCGGTCACGAATCATTCTTCCACTTGAATGTACGTTATTTTCATTTTGTGATAACGCAGTTTGATAAGAGAGGTCAACACCATTGTCAAATAGAATCTATAGTTATGATATGAGGACAACGTTTACGATTAAATTTACCTTTTAAGGAAAAGTAGCTTCTGTTTTGTTTTGAGTTATATATCAATTGGAAGTTTCGTGCTGGATTACCGAAACGGACCACCGTGCGACGGTTGAAAGCGATCCCTCGATTCGGACACTGCCAGATGCACGCGCGATCGGTCCTTCGACTGCGACCGCAGGCGACCGCGAAATATTGCACGTTCGCGCGGAGCGGCTTCGGCATATCGTCTGACAGTCGGGCGAGGTGACGGAACGAAACCGCGAGCTGAAGCGCTCTCGTTATTCGTGATCTGTCCTGGTCGGACCCAGCTATTTCGCGAATGTATCGAGTAGTCGAGGAACGCGACAGTTCCTCGATGACGCCCGGAAATTTCTCCGCGAAACGAGATCCCGATATTAGCTGCGTATTTACATAGGAGAACGTGTGTCGCGCGATCCTCGAACTACGCGTCGTTCCTCCGTCGATGCTGCTTCTTTTCCCTCGCGGCGGAATATTTTCGACGGCGCGCTCCCGGCGGGGCCGCGGCGGGAGCTATACGGGTCGGAATTTCACTTCTAAATTAGCTGCGCGCGAATTTGCAAATTACGCCCGTTTAAAATTTCATTCCCAGCTGTTTCGGTCGCGACGCGCCCTTTAATTCGCAAAGGAGCGGCCCCGCGCGCGCACGCTCGCGAACGGGGATAAATACGAAATGAGCGTTGGATTACATTATCACCGAATTATAACGCGGCGCGGCCCATTCCGCGCGCGTACCTCGTTATCTCTCCGTCTCGGCCGCGTACCGGGAGTATTCGGCGTTAAACTGTTTTTCCTCTTAGTTCCTGTCAACTGCCACTCCTTGATTCCACGTCAACGCGCTGTCGATAACCGTATAACGAGAGTCGTCGGTTCACTCGAAAACATGCAATTCCACCGGGAGCAATTAAATCGCTCGTCCAATGTTTAATCGGAACAGCGCGCGCTCCGGTCTTACTTTCGGCGTGCATTGGCCTTTCGAAAAAAACAGAGAGCCCTGGGAAACGGGGTAACGGAGCACGGGGAGAAATTTTGTTGGCCGCCGCGATCATTTCCGGCCTCTCCGGCGTCCCGTTCTCGAATTAAAAATAACACGGACTGTTTGGGGACGCCTGTTTTCAGGCGAACGGAAAACAACGGGCCGGAGAGAAAAAAGCCGCGGAGAGAGCGAACGGCGAAAGCTACATCGTGCGCCGCTGCGAAACCCCGCGATCTCCGTCGGAAGGAACGCGCGCCCCTCGTTGCGCGGGGATCGGATCGCGGGCGGAACAAAGGAACGAATTAACTCAACAAGTAGGGGTGGGCAACCCTTTAATTCGCGCGAATCACTCTTTTCGAACCGACAGGCAACGTGCCCGCGGTTACAAATAAACGCGAATCGAATACGAAACAGCTTCCACCCTCGAAACTTTCCACCAGCGTCGCCTCCTCTGTGAAAGGTCGAAGGAGCAAGACGAATAGCGCGCGAGCTCGGTACAAGGTGTTTGAGAATTCCGTGCCCGTTCCGCGCAACCGATGACGTCCGCACAATGCACAGGGTAGAATTAATGATCTTCCCGCGACCCTTTCCAACTGTGAAATCATGAGGTTCTCCGGACGCCGTGGACGGCGGTGTTAATTCAACAAGTAGAAGAATCGTTTCCCCCTCGCCTCACCCCGCGAGTAACACGGCGGAAGAGGAACATGTAATTAGGGCGTCCCGTTTCCATCGGGAAGCTCTCGTATTCTTTCGCGGGACACGGAAATGGAATTTTGGTGGACGGTCCTCGTTACTTGTTAAGGTGTTAACACTTTGAACTCTGTAGGCTACGATATTGCACCAGTTATAATATATATTTTAATGAATCTTAAAACTACCCTAAAATTATTCGATTCTCCGCACATTAATTCTGTGCTATGAAGGAAAATAGAAGATCGAAGAAATGTTATAGCATTTGTAATTTTCGCTGGGAATACTATAAAAATTAGTTGCAGTTGCTGATACATTACAAAACAACCTGGAGTGCTAGGGGTTAAGAATGTTTCGATGATCAACGATGTTCTAGTGCACTGTATAGTTTATTTGAAACTAGGATATTGGAAAAATTGAATGATAAATTACAGACTATAGAAAGAAAATAGATTGCGGTGGGGTAGTAGAGTTTACGCTGTGAACTGCTCGAACGTTGTAGGACTGCCGAATCGGTTTTCCGGCAGGACGGAGATAATGAACTTTCCCAGCGACTTCCAGTGTTTCAGTAAATAGGAATTTCATTGGTAGATCTCGAAAGGGAATTTCTTCATACTTCATCCGCACAGATAGTGTTTTGATCCTCGCAAACCGTAGTTCTGACGAATAGAGATCCTCGATCGTAAAAGGAATATCGCAGTGAAGACATGAAGCTAGCTAGCTGTGCAAGTAAAAATTAATAAATTTGTTAAATTTCTACTAGGTTATACCTTATCCAGTGTTTCGTCTGTTGCCCCGGAAGTCGTATGCAGATCAGGAAATATTCCTCTGCTTTTAGCTGTCAGCGTTGATTTTACGTATCAAGCTAATCTTTTGTTCTCGACAATCGGAATTTTCCCCGCCCTTTCGATTCGTCTCCCGAAGCTGAAGTACCCAAACTTCAGTCCAGTCGAACCGAAGGGCTATTCGAAAGCACCAAATGATACGTGCAGAGGGATCATCGAGAGAACACACGAGGGGTCTACTTTCAGCTATCAGCGCGATTGACCGCGTCAGGTTTCAACCCTTTACAGACGAATGTCGAGAGTTCGACGAGATGAAATGTTTATATTCGAAGACTAAGTCGCAGACAAATGATTTAATACTTGGAGCAATTTATTAGCATATAGTTTCTGTTTTCGCTTTTATTTAAGTAATTAATATATAATCTAGCTTCATCTGTTAAAGGTTTGCATTTCAAAGAATCACAATTACTCGGATAAGAGATTAGTAATAATTTAATTCGAGATTAAAAATAATCTAGCTTCATCTGTTGAAGATTTTGTGCTTTTCAAAGAATCAAAATTACTCGGACAACAAGAAACTTGTAATAATTTAATCTGAGATTAAAAATAATCTAGCTTCATCTGTTAAAGGTTTAAATTTCAAAGAATCAGAATTACTCGGACAAGATATTAGTGATAATTTAATTTGAGATTAAAAATAATCTAGCTTCATCTATTGAAGCTTTACATTTGAAAGAATCAGAATTGCTCGAACACCAAGAGACTAGTAATAATTTAATTCGAGATTAAAAATAATCTAGCATCATCTGTTGAAGATTTTGTGCTTTTCAAAGAATCAGAAATACCCGGCCAAGATATTAGTGATAATTTAATTTGAGATTAGAAGTAATCTAGTCTCATCTGTCAAAGGTTTACATTTCAAAGAATCTTCGTCCGCAAAGGCTTAACAGTCTCGCAACAGCAAGATTCGATGTAGCCGGCTATTGTAACACGACGTAACACGCACCGGTACGAGATTAGAAAGGTTTCTGGCGTGCCAGTAGCGGGCCGGGGGTACCGATTGTTTCCCAGTTCGAGAGTTCGCGGTCGCTCCCTTTTTCTCTCCTGACGGGGGCGAGAACAGCGGTCTCATTAAACGCGGGCCCGGAGCGTCACGTGGCTTTTATGTGTCTTCGGCGAACTCGGCCTAGTGCGTGAGCCTGTTTCACGTCTTTTCGGTTGGCTGTGTGCCCAGCCCGGCCGTCTGCGTGGCTCACCTATGAATACGAGTGCCCGGCTGGAAATGGAATCGGGAGCGTGGAACGGCCGTAGGCCATTCGTAATTGAACCAATCCCGCGCGAGCGAACTTCTCGGCAAGATGCCGGTCCTCCACGGGCATTCGAGAAATAGGGATTTCCTCGCAGGACCGTTTCCACGCTTCCATTCCGTCCTCTTTCTTCCGAGCCGCGCGCGACCCCCTCCCACCCCCCGCGCGCGCGCCGGGAAACAGAGCCGCTTATCAAACGAAACGCTCCCCCGTTGATCCCTGAATATTCGACGTTAATGTGTTTGCGTTCCTCGAAAATTTGCATGGCCCGTGATACGATAACAGAGCCCCGCTCCTTTTCCCGGCAGTCGCCGGTGGACGTTGAAAAGCGCGGGGAATGGAACGTCGTTGTCCCCGGTTGAAATGCTTCCCGCGTACACCGGGAAACCAGTTCACTATCATTGCGAATTTACTCGGATCATTTCTACCCTTAACCACTTGGCCTGTGATTTCTTTCTCGAGTGATCGATACGGATACTTTGTCGTTAATCATTTATTGGAGAAAGAGGAAAATTCGAAGCATATGTTACGCGTATAGTTTCTTTTAACACCGTCCGCGAGCGTAATCGGGAATCTTTTGTTTGGCGCCAGTAGAACTCGTTTGGACCATTTCGCCCGGGTTTCCTCAAGGTTTTCGGGAGATCATCGAACGTCAAGTTTTACTAATTTCGACAGTTCTCAATCCTGTCCCTCCGTTTTCATAAAATTTCGATAGCTTCGCACGCGATACCAACGTGGTGTGACCAGACGGCATAGTGTTAAGTATAATAGTTGATTACAGAGGAATAACATTTACTTTGAATTCGAATGAACTCACTAATATACATATTTGTTGAAAACCTTCACCACGAGTCTTGCTCGTGGGACAAGGAGTTAACCACTTGCGCTGGAAATGAACGAGATTTGGCAAAGTCTCGTACGATGAATTTTGAGTTCACATATTTTACGCTCATATGTACACTAATTTCTTTTGTTGATCATTC